ATCCGAGTTTGCATTTTTCGTAGCATAAATTCCTCGGCCAACTCCGCGTCGTCTTGTTCTTCCAAATAGCTCAGCAGTCCATCGACTTGTTGCAAAGCCACTTTGTGAGTCTTCCGCATCTGCACAATGTGCTCTTATTCGCCTTCACTTTGCTGTCCTTCATTCTCGGTCTCTCCCCTTGCTTTTCTTCACAATTTTGTCATCTGTCAAGCGTTCGAAGCCAGGATCGTTGACGTCACACTTCAACCACTCGTTAATGTTTTCAGCATCGACGTTCTGACCACCCAGAACTGTTTTCACCATATCGGCAAGAGTTGTTGTGGGCGTGTCTACATCTTCATTCTCTTCTTCACAACTCGAAGGGTTTAGGTTGTTGTTGGCTTCAACATTAGGCATGAGTTTTCTCCATGATTTTATGAGGGTTGACGGTTTCACTGAGTCCCATGCAAATGCAATATCGTAGATGCTGTCCAAGATTGTGTAGTGTTTCCAAAACTCTTTCAGATCATAACCTTTTTCAATTTCGGTCATTAGCAGCTTGGTTCGGTATGTTCTCTTCATTGTTGTAATGACTCCTTGGTCCATGGGTTGGATTAGCGCAGTAACGTTTGGAGGGAGAAACTTTGCAAATATTTGTCTATCAGAAGACTTTAGCACGCTTGTTGCTGGGTGAGAAGGTGCGTTGTCGATCAATAGCATAGCTTTCTCAGGCAGTTTTTTCGATTTAAGATGTTTACGCACTTGAAGAACAAAGATTTTTTCGAGCCATTCTTGAAAAATGTTTCGGTTCATCCATCCTTTTTTTTTTTTTTTTGATTAAAGTAATCAGCGGGCAAATTTTCTATCCTTGTGCCTTTGAAAGATCTCGGTTTTTTTTGACTTTCCAGTGACAACAAGTCTAAGTTTATGTCCACCGGTAGCATTACTGCAAGACATGATAGTGATCCTTTCCTTGCTGCTTTTATGACCCGTCGCTTTACTTTAACTTTCAAATGCTAAAGTGCGAATGGGAAGACATTTCCACAAAAGTCCCGATTCATCGGCATTGTAAATTTGTTCAAAAGATAGGTCTTCTTTTAAAACAAGTTCTTGAAATTCATGGTGGAAATCATTGGCTGCTTGTTGGTCACCACTAAGTTTCTCCCCATGAAATCCAATATCTCGAATTCCATGTCGCTGCTTAAAACGAGTCAACCAGCCAGAAGACACATCAAAATTTCCTTTCAAGCCTATCAACTCAAGAAAGGTTCTTGCCTTCGCCTCAATGATAGGACCATTTACAGGAGTACCCTCTTTTCGAACTTAAGCTAACCACTCTGTCAAAGCCATGTCTAGCTCATCAAAGGTCCCTTCATAGTTTTTCACGTTTTCATTGCGGAAGCACTGTTCGACATTGATGCAAATTTCACCAGTTTGTCTTTTTTCTTTAGAATGTCACACGCTGTTGTTTCCACGATTCCATAATCCAATCCCATCTGCTGCCTTGTAGTGCCGTTTGCTACTTTGGAAATTAATTCTAGTTTTCCGCAATCGTCAACACAACCTTCTTTCCTTTTCCTGACATTTTAAATTGGTAACGAAAAGCACAAGCACTCAACACAATAAAAATAAAGGATAAGAAATTAACTCCTACCGGTTCGCAAACACAATCCGGCTTAAACTAACAACGACGAGTGGAAGGAAGTGGACGTGTCAGTAAGATTAAGACGAGGGAGGTGGAGCGGGCCTGCAGGGGTGAGTAAGAAATCACTTGCTCATCAGAGGGGTAGGTTCCGAGAAGGCCCGGGATATTTTTGCCATAAATAAGCATGTTGTTAGCAAATTTAACGTTTTGTTCAGTTTTGTGAACATTTTTATTATCTTTGCTTTACGCTTGTAAAAAAAAATTGTTCGGCAGGCGCGGATAATCGGAAGTCTACTGTATTAGTTTAGTTATTTATTATACTTATGTCTATTTCTTGGACATGCTTAACCTTTTAACTGTCATGCCCGAAATAATCTCGGGCACAGCACTGGTATTCCAAAATGTCACGGCCGAATATTACTCGGGCTAATTTTTTGTTGAGTGCATTGCATTGTTATACCGAAATATATATCGTGAGAAGTTTGTTTCGGCTTCAACAGATGGCAGCATTTGATTGAAGGTTTCAAAGGATAGAGGTTAAAATTCAAAGTGCGCAGCATTTTTTTTTTTTTTTTTTTTGACTTTGAGGCAAACATTTCATTTTTGGAATAAAAAAAAATTAACAATTTATGCACCCAAATCATCAAAATAACTTGACAATTAAAAGGTTAAGGCTTATCATATTTCTGAATAAATAAATTCTCACATATGTAATACAAAATGTAATCTTTGGGTCTATCTCTATCATCAACAGAATCTATTTTTATCATATGGAAAGAAATTTTTGGTAAATTTTTCCTCGTCAACATTTTCTAGCGTATTTTAACTTAAATCTGTAATCAATGCCAAGCATAATGTCAACATAAAAGGTTACCATACTCATTTATTATTCAATTACTAACATAAAAAAATTGTTTAGGCATCGCTACAGGAGTCATTACTCAAGTTGTCATGTTTTGATAAACATGCAGTGATGAAAGGAAAGTATAATAAAGAATGATTTGCCAGATCAACGATGTATCTATGTGGTATATTTCGGTTTAAGATGTGTGCCAAAGCAGATATGCAGCAGCGGAGCCAAATTACTGATCGGACAGATTTATGCTAAAATGAACATTTCTTCGATAACAAGGTATTTTATTTAGTATCAAGTGAAATTAAGAATCATTACTCTCCAGATTTATATTATGCGCGGAGGGGGGATTAAATGCACATGCGTAAAGCCTACGAGAAAAAAAACCTTAGTGTTGCTTTTGAGGTCTGGATGTTAGATCATTCCGGATAATGGACGTCCGAATATTGGACTTTGTACTGTATATGGGATACTGTCTTTGAACAGGGTTCGTAGCGGTCCTTACAAGTGCTTATAAGTCCTTATATTTGAAAACAAAATATAAAGGCCCTTATAGGTACTTACTTTTTCTTTTAAAGTTCTTATTTTTTTGTTTTCAATGCTTATTTTTTGCTTTTAGTGCTTTTTTTTTAATGAACGCGCTATTTTTCCTATTTTTCCCCGTCAAAGCCCCCGAACCAACCGAAACTAAATAAACAACTTTTCTTCCTAATGTAGGAATGTCAAGATGGCTGAGTCATACTCCCGGAAATAGCTTTTCCCCCTTTCTCTGCATTAACATAACCTTTGGTGTACACAAAGAGTACAGACAGGTGCCTGTCGTTCTATTGGTCAAAGAATTGCGAAAGCAGTAGAAAATTCCGCTACATTCGGCATTCTTTTCCTCCCACCCAAATACTACACATGTTTGAATTTCTATCAAGATCTTAAAAATTTGCATTCTCGTTCTGCTTGGTCAGTTCATATTCATGTTTGTTATGGTCGTTATGCTTATATTATGAGCATATGTATGAATGTTTATAATAACATAGTTGCAGTAACTGCTGAAGTGTAGTAAACTTCCAAAAATGGTTGTGTTTTAACACAGATTAGCTTTCTAAGGAATAATATTCGGAATGGCTTAAATAAAGGGAAAGTAATCGAATAGTCAAAATAATTACATTTTTTTTGGCCAATATATTATACAGTACGAAGGTTGAGAGGTCTCCCCTTTCTCCGCAAAATCTTGAATATTGAAACTGTTACAGTTCGCTGCAAAACAAGCAACGGACTTTTTTTTTTTTTTTTTTTTTTTTTTGGTTACTTTCCAATCTGGATTGAATAGGACTAAAAGTTCTGTGGTCTACCAACCCAAGCGAAGAATGATTCTATTCTGGAAATTTAACGCCGTGTGTTGAAAATTAGAAAGAAAAACACCCCAATTAGTTAGTTCTTTATTCTCCCAATACCGGCAGTTATTGATTCCGATTGCATAATATCACGTAGGGAAGAATTATGGCGCACGTATTGCGCAATAATGTTTGCGATATTTTGCAGAGATAATTAATTTTGATGTTCAGTCCAAGATTTGTTTATGAACACTTACTTACTAACTGAAAGAGTTTTACTGTGCTTGCTAAGCAGAATATTTTTTAGTTCCGTTGGCTTATTTTTATATGATGCACATATTGAAATGTCAAAAGCATTTATTAGCGGAAAAATCTAAAGAGCGGTTACAGTCTACCCCCTCCCCCATCCGCTCCTTCAAGTTAGGCTCGACTGTCCGAATATTCGCCAGTTCCAAGTATGCGGGTTAGTTAAGCTTTTACTGTTAAAGATGGCTGCTTGAAGCAAATTTCTTCAGAAATGTTCCTCTTTTTTACTTAAATTACTTTGCTTGCAATTTCTTTTAAGAGAAAACTGATATACAATGAAAATTTAGATTTAAATATCAATATGAGTGGAAAAATAAATTGTATTTATTATTATGTTCCAAACGAATACAATAAATATGCCTTATTATTATTTATTTTCTCTATTTTGAACTGAAATTTCATCATTAAATCTTGTAATATAGTTTAGTTCTTCAAAGTTTTTTTTCTCTCATTGTAAACTAGTTCTGTAAATTGAACTATTATTTAAAATAAAAAAAAAAAAAGAAAAGTAATTATTTTCCATGGTTAAGGTAATGCTTATTCTCTCTTAATAAGTACTTCATTTCTCATATTTTAAATTACAATTCTAATTTTTAAGGTTATGCAGTTGTGTATGATGTAATTAGACAGGTGCTTATTTTTTTTCTTAAAATGAGCTTAGAAAGTGCTTATAGGTGCTTATTTTTTTAACTAAAATGTGGCTATGAACCCTGTTGAATTTATGCAAAAGCAGCCAAAGTAATGTCTTTTTTATAAAAAAAAATGTGTGAAATGAAGCTGCGATTAAAAATAGGATGCTGTATGTATATGTATCATGTTTTGCCCTATGTATGCTCTAAATGTAAAACACTGCCTTAAATATATATATCTTATACATACTGCTTTGCAGGATGATGATTTAGAAGAAGGAGAAGTCAAGGATGGTAGTCCAAGCCCTAAGCAACCAGCACGTGCAGTTTGCAAATTTTATAATAGAGGCAAATGTACCTATGGAAATTTATGTCGCTTTTTACATCTAAGTGTTAATAACAAAGGCTATTATAATATGTTTGCTGGAAATTCAAGATATTCCCTGTATGGATTGCCTGGAAATAGTCCTGGGAATGCTCTGTGCCAATCAAGTTTATCTGCTGGTATTATAAATCCAATTAATCAAAGAGGAGGGCCTGTAAGTATTTAAAACTATTTTAAAACTGCTGGTATCAAAGAATTGCTATAATTTCAGTGATTAATTTACATACATTTTTTGCTTTCTGTTAGCGTGGAGGACCAGACTTTTTACCAGTTCCACCACCTTTGCCTCCACCACCTCCACCAACTCCAGTAGAAACTGCATGGGAAAGAGGCTTAAGGGAGGCTAAAGAGGTGAATTTTTTGTATTATTTCTACATTTAATGGAGTATTATACTGCATTAATGTATGATTTTAGACCTTTCTCTATTTCCATATATTGTAAGAGCATGAAAGGGCATTTCCTTCATGGAAGCGTTTCTGGCATGGCTGTTTCTCGATCTATTTCAAAAATGGAAGATATGTGGCTCAGTTCTTGCTAAGGGCTTAGTTGATATTTTTATGTTTTCTGCTTTGAAAAATCCAATAGTTTCTAACAGAGAATTTTTTGTTTCAAGGTTAGTTTTCTACTAAAGATTAGATGGGCTTCTTTTGTTATGGTCTCATTAAAAAGTAAAACAGTTTGTTTTCCAGCATAAATTCCTTTTTTAAACCTGCAAATAATGTGTCATTGTACCAAAATTCCAATTTTCAAGCTTTAAATTCTATTATTTAGCACATTCCTGTTGTGATGGTTGTAGACAGAAAATGATGTTTAGTAGCAGTAAGTTTTTTCTGTAATTTTGTGCAGTAGAATATTTATCTTTTTTTCTTGATAATAGATTGTTTTGGAATATTGCCATTTTAGAATTATCTGCCTTGCTTCTAAAGCAGCCAATCTCTCCTTCAATAAGAACTTCATCATCTTAAGAATTGCAAATTCTCCATCTTAATGATTATTCCAAATTTATCTATTAAAAAGCTGTGTTGAACTCATTTAAAATTTGAAGCTAAATCATAAATTTGAAGGATATGTGCCTTGCACTTAATATGTATTTAATGATGTCTTGCCATTAGTAGCATTTAATGATGCTTATTTGTTAGTGGTATATCAGAGACAGGTTGGTTAAATTAAAGGGATAACGATAATCAGGTTTTCATTTTATTTCATCCATGGTAAAGTAAATCACATTTTGCATTTATTTCATGAAAATACCATTATTGTTATATGTGTAGTGATAATTTTGGTCACTAGTATACATTTGAAATTAAAAAAGAAAAAAAAAGTAATCCACTAGATTAATAAATACTCAAATACAAAGTCAGTGATTGAAATATATATTATACATAAATGAAACTCTGCACATGATACTGTGTGTAAATGTTTTCTGCTATCCAGATCATGAGCAATTTTTCAATGTGCTGTAATGTCTCTCATCTCTGTAATCAAATTTACTCACTTTCATTTCATGCAAAAAGAGAAGCCGAGAATTTTGGGGGGGGATTTTAGTAATTTGTGGTTTGTAGCCCTGAAATGTTCTCAACAGTGTGCTTAAACACTCAGGGTGGTTATCATTGTTTTTTTTTTTTTTTTTTTTTTTTAAATAGGTATGGAATGTAATAATTCCTATGAAATAAAATTGCGCATCCTCATATCTCCATTTTTCTCCTGCATTATTTTTCTGTCTATATAACTCTCAGCTTATAGTCTTGTACATTTCTAATAAAAAGTGTAATTTTAAGATGTTAATTACACTTGTTTTCTTAAATGTGTAAATAATTTTCACAGTTAGTGAAGAAAGCAAATGAACGCAAAAAAGAGGAACCAGACTTTGAAGAAAAAAGATTGAATTTAAGCATTGATGTCAATGAGAAATATTTACCTGACATTGATAAAGAAAATGAAAATTACATAGAGAAATCATATAATAGATCTCGTTCAAAGAATGATATCCACTACAACAAGTAAGCATTTGCTTTAATATTTGTGTACTATTAATGCATACAATTATATTTGATTTAAAATGTAAATAAAATCTCTTTTGTATTTCTTTTAGTAATTTAAAATTACAGCATTGTTTTGCTAACTTTTTAAATTCCTTTTATTTTTTATTTCATACTTTGTACTTGTGTGTGTATATATAAGAAGGGAAGGTTATTTATTGTGAGGAGAGTAAAATAATCTAAATTCATTCTGAAAGTCTAAGGAATATAAATTTGTAAATAACTGGACTAGCATTTTTAAAGATTTTAAATACTTTTGAAAATGCTGCACTTTTAGAACAGGGTACCTATAAACGTGCCTTGATCCTGTCACATATATTTGCTGCTTCTTTGCTGTTAGATCCTCTTAGGCAGAGAGCTCTCGAGTGCTTTGACATAATCAAACAAACTGAACCTTTATTGCTAGTGATAGATTTGTTGAAATTTTAAGGTTGTTTTGGTTGATGAACATTGCAATATGAAAATAGAGGCTACTACTTAACCAAACTAAAAAATAATAAGGCTATTTATTATCAATTAGATAAAAGGCAATTCTGTGCTGCAAATTATAAGGTTCTTTACCTAACACGTGCAGTGTCAAATATATTATTCTTGTTTTATCTAATAAAAATAAATGACTGTTTTTTTTAAATATGATTTATGTTGAAATCTAAGTTGCAGTTTGACATACCGTGCATACATTAAATGTGTATTTTTGGTGTAATATATGTATTATAAAAGTGTATTATCTCAGAAGCTAAACTTTCTCTTATGTGCTCATACTTACACATGGGGACAAATAATGAGTTAGTTATGATACCAAATATTACTGTCAAAACTTGGTGTGACGTAGACGTTGAGAATATCACTTCTTGCATCTGCTCAGCAGTTAATGAAGCTTCTTGCTGCATTCCTCAAGCATTAAGGTTTTGTGCCAGGAAACCCACCCCCACTACCTCAAGACCAGCACGCCAACAGACTTCCCACTAAAATTAGATAACAGATTAAAGAGAGAAATTGCATAAGGAAATTGAGGCATGCTATTTCCTTATGCCTTTGGGACCCAAAGTTAATGAAATCACTTTAGAAGATTTGTAAGAATATTAAAAATTTTAGGAAAAATAAATGGTCTAGATGCCGCAAGCAGTTCTTTCTGATCTTCCACCAAAGGACTAAATCGTAAATATGTGTGCATCCACCCGATTTACGTGAATAATCATGCTGTCCTCACAGACAGAGATAAGTTCATGGTTTTAGCTAATCATCTGAAGTATCATTTCAAGGCAAACCCCAGCCCTTGAGATATCAACTTTGTCTATGTGGTGTGCTGTACTGAAGTTCATGGTTTTAGCTAATCATCTGGAGTATCATTTCAAGGCAAACCCCAGCCCTTGAGATATCAACTTTGTCTATGTGGTGTGCTATACTGTCACAGATTCGCTGAATGCATGAACCATGCAGGATCCATTGCATGCATTGCAGGATTCGCCATGCCCAGTGAAATGAGTCATATCAAGAAACTCGAGGCTAAGAAGGCACCAGGTTATGATAAAATCAGTAATCTTGCTATTAGCAATTTTCTATATAATTTTATAAGCAGATATACTGGTATTTTAAATGTCTGTTTAATGCATTCGTATGTTCCTAAATTATGGAAAATTTTGAAGCTAATCGTCATCCCCAAATCGGGCAAAGACGACCCAAGCTGTTGGTTATATGCCCATCAATCTGTTATCTGGACTGGCCAGAATTTACAAAGGGATTATTCTCAACAGAACCCAGCCGTACATGAATTTACTTGCCCCCAAACAATATGGGTTCGGGAAAAGCTTCTCTATGACAAAACAGTTGGTCAGGCTCACGAAGTGCATAGGAGTGACTGTGCACAAAAAAATATTACCCTACTGATGCTGGATGTAGTGAAAGCTTTCCACCACATCTGGCAAGAGGGTCTTTTCTACAAGCTCTTTAAATTAGGCTTTCATTGAGAACTCATTGAGGTGATTATACCCTTCATTACAGACAGAAAATTTTTCGTGGAATTTGGTAAAGAGCTTTCTGATTTTTGGATTATTAATGCTGGTATATGCTGGTGTCTCGTAAGAATCCATTATTGGTCCCATCCTCTATTTATTCTTTTTTGCAGATTTTCCCAAATTTCATTTAAAGAATTATCAGTTCTTAGGATGTTATGCAGGTGACACAGCCTTAGCTGTGAAGTCTGTTATTGCCAATCATGCTGTCAAGACTCTGCAAAACATTATTCCTTTGATTGAAGAATGGTACTCCAAGTGGCATAGCTTTATTAATGAGCACAAATCACAACTTTTAATAATATGTAGATGATGTTTGAATATGCCTGTCAACAGAAAACTACCTTTTTAATGACAACATCCCTCAAGTCAACAAAGCCAAATATGTAGGAATCAGAGTGAAAAAATGAACTGAAATGATCATTCAATAAAATTCATAGCAAAAACCTTAGGAGTTATGGATAGTCTTATGCCATTAATTTGGGAATTACTCAAATTTGGACAAATTTGGAAAAGGAGACTTGTATATCATGGTGTCCTTTATAGTCAACTTAGATTACATGCTGAACCGCAGTAGAACTCAGAACAAACTACAACATTAATACCCTTGCTCGTGAACCCTTTTATAAAACAAGCTGTCCGTTCTCTGTTGATTCTTCTGCCTTCTGATTTTGCCATTCCTTTTCTGTTAGCACAGTTGAAAAAAAGTGAATCTGCCTAATGCTTTAAAAGCACATTCCTTGGATACTGATTATACATACACTTTATTCCACTGGTCTCTAGCTCCATATCTATACGGATGGCTCATCTAAACCTGATGGTGCCTCTGACTCACTGTTATGGTGTTTTTGAGGGTTCTGTGGCCATTGGGTTAAACTCAATGAATTTTAAGGCTGAGGTGGAGACTATCAGGCTCTCTGTAGACTTCCTTCTATCACAAATTATAAGACGGCTGTCTTTTTTATTGATTCTCAGGCAGCAATCTTGGCCTTTGCTCCTACCATACCATAATGATGACTCTGCACGCCTTTCTGTTATACGTACTTTCGCTAGCAATATTCTGATTTCAAATTTGAAAATAACTTATCAGTGGATCCCTAGCCATTGCGGTATTCGGGTAACGAACATGCTGATTGGCTCTTTAAGGAAGCGTGTGTCTCAGTAGTCTTACTCTTATACTTTTGAAGAATCTTTCGCTGTGATAAAAAGTAAAATAAAAGAGAAAGTCAAAAATACATATAATAACCCAGGCCATGGAAAAGGCCTGCAAAAAATCTTCAGTCTAGATTTATTCCTCAAGACCTGAGATACGCTACAGTTGCAAACTTTGTCGTCAACACTGCTCACGACTTTTTATTTGGACACTTGCACTGCATTGGTGTTGTTTCTTCTCCTGATTGCCCACTCCCCTCTACAGGGAACTGCATGGATTTTAATCCTATCTTGTGTCCTCATCTTCTTTAAGACAAATCCTTTTCTGTTGCTGACTGTTGTAATATTGCTGAACTATACTGGGCTGCTTGTGGGGGAAGTTATGGTTCCTCGGCCTCTTCTCAAACATAGGTGTTTTTTTTTTCAGGTTTTCAGCATATAACTCTGTATATTAATATATTATTATTATTATACACATTTCTATTTCAGCAGACATCACCATCTTTTTTGGTATTTTTGATTTTATTCCAGATGTCTCGGATGGTTAGTGGTTTAAATTTTTGTTAGTAGTTTTATACTTTAGTATGACATTTATGTGGCACTGTCAGTAGGAGAGCTATATTAGTAATTTTCCATTTTGTCTAGTGAGGTCTTTGTATCTGACATATTCCCTGCTGTTTCAGAAATTAGCAAATTGTCACAAAGTAAAGTTGTTTCAGACTCACTGTTGTGACCTGCAAAAAATTCAAGTACTGTTTGAATGCATTGTAGTTTTGCATATCACAATAGCAGCAGTTATAACAAATTAAAATGTTAGATATCCCTTTGAGACACTTTATTAATGAAGAAATATTTAAATGAAATAATGCCAGTTATAACCTGCATGTATTACAGAAAGAACTTTTATTTATTGTTACAGGTATTAGTATTTTCAGCTATAATATTCATCTTGCTGGCCACTGTATTAGAAGTATATATAAAATTCTATGGGGGGGTTCCCCCAAAATTGTGTTCAATTTGCTAATAATGCATAGTAAAATGAGGGCATTTTTTCTAACTGTTCATTTTATGAATTCTTTTTCTTATGGGGTAGCAGTAATGTTCAAAGTAACTCTTTGCTTTGGGAAATGTGTTTAATGCTTATGTTTCCTAAGGAATTGACCCAGTTTACATTTGCTATTTAGTGGATATGCTGTATTTGATTCATTTCAGCTGGAAAGTCTGCAAAAGAAACTCGCTGTTTTGCAGTTTTCTTTGGCCATTATTAGTCATTGTTTTTTAATTTGTGATTGTTTTGCTCAGTTCAAGTGTTGCATGCATTTATTATGTTGGAAGGATGTAAATAAATACTTTTTTAAAAATTAATCTTAGATATGATGAGTCAAATGAGGTATTTGACAATGGTGAACGGGAAGCTCGTGAGCACTGGCGTGGAGGTCGTTTTGAAAATTTTGAAATCCGATGGACTAGAGCTCGCACACAAGACATGCACATGGTAAATTCATTTTATTTTTCAGTGTTTTCTATGTTCCCCTGTTGTTAATTATATTGTCAAGGAATTAAAAAATTCTTTCTTACATAGTTTCTGTGACAAAAGTCAGCTTATTGATCCAGTAATCTCAAATTATTTCGGGCTGCTTGTGGTTAACTTTTCACTGAATTCTAAGTCCATCTTCATTTGTCCACAGTATTTAAATTGTCAATTTTGTGCGGAAGTCTAAACATTAGAAATATATTGTTTTGTTGGAGCAATTTGTTTAAATCTTGAATTTCTGAAATAGAAAATGCAGATTTTCAAAATACAAGTTTTTATTCAAAATTTTGAAATCTGCATTTATTGGTGATAAGTTTCTTAAAATTTTACTAATTTGTGTTGATTAAGTTACATGTTGAATGTTATGAGAATGGTTATTTTAAAGTAATTTGTAAAATATGATCATTCTTCCTTTTTTTTTTTTTTAGAGAGTTTCACATTCATTACAATTCTGTCAACTATTGAATATGTTTTACATATAATTTTTTAACTACATTGTTAACCATTGCATTCATAATTTTTAATTAAATACACTTTTGAATTAGCATCTGTTGGCTACTGGTTCAAAATAAAATTTTATGTATAAGCTATTGAATGCAAATGAAGGAAATTTAGGCATTATTCTTTTAAATAATATTTTTTTAGGTGAATGATGTGTTTGGTTTTTTGACGTTACAGTTTACAGAAATAAAATAGGCACTTCACATTACTGACACAAACTTTAAGTTTCTTTTAAGATATGTAATAGAAAGAGCAGTTTAAAATTCAAAGATGTACAAAGTCTGCAATGAACTTGAAACTATGATTCTGATGGAAAACGTTTCTGTAAGTGCATGTCTAGTTATACAGTACAAATGCATTGCTATCCAAATCCTGACTGATGTGCAAGTTTTCCTTTCATGTAGCCTAAAATTTCATGTAAAAAATGTATACATAGCTTGCTTTCAACTGCAAATTGAGTTCTGTATATATACAAGGTGTGTCTATTAATATCCAGGATTCATGTCACAGCATGAAACCGTTCACTTGCCCGAGAGAGGCGCTGCTGGTATCTGGAAAGTAGTACATCTGCAAATGGTCCTTGCAGCGTGCATCAGCTGTAGACACGAGCTTGGCTGGGAAAGACGAATGGAAACGTATGTGGTGAAGTGTTGTCAAAGTGGTAAAGTGGTGTTGTGGAAGTGTTGAAATAGAACAAAGTTTGAGCATCAAACTCTGCTTTAAACTGGGCAAAAGTACGACAGAAACACCTGCAATGTTGAAGCAAGTGCATTGTGAGCAAGCATTATCCCGTTCGCACACATTTGAATGCTATGTACGTTTTCTGGACAGCCGTGAAAGTGATGAAGATGATGACCACACTGGGTGACCGATTTCTGTGCATACACCTGAAACAATTGAGACAGTTCGCAAGCTTGTAACAGCGGATCGGCGACTGACTATTCGAATGTTGGCCAGTGAATTGAACATCAACAAAGACTTGGTTCTCCAAATTCTGATGCAAGACCCAGGGAAACACAAAGGTGTGTTCCAGATTTGTCCCACACTGTTTATCAGACGATCAGAAGCAAGTCAGAATGGACACGTGTGGTGAACTCATCGACCACGCTGACCCTGCTTTCCTGGATTTGATAGTAACGGGTGATGAATCGTGGTGCTTTCAATACGACCCTGAAACCAAGATACCGAGCACAGAATGGTGTTCTCCCAGCTCCCCTAAACAGAAAAAATTTCGATTTCAAAATCAGTCATGTTAATCACTTTCTTCCATAGTGAAGGACTTATTCATCATGAATTTGTCCCACCAGGCACTACTGTTGCAAGACAGTTTTATGCAGAAGTTCTTCCCCAACTCTGACAAAGAATTCACAGAGTACATCCCCATTTTCGACAGAATGGGAGTTGGTTTCTGTTGCGTGACAGTGCCTGCCCCCACAGGTTTTTGGCCAAGCATGAGGTTGTGAAGCTGCATCATCCACTATACTCTCCTGACTTGGTCCCTGCAGACTTCTTTTTGTTTCTCAAACTCATCTGGATGTTGAAGACATTAAAAAGGATGTCTCATCGACATTGAAGAGCCTTCCAAAAGAGGACCTTAAAAGTTTTTATGCAACTTATACAGCCAAGCACAAAAGTGTATTATGGTAGATGGGGATTACTTTGAAACATATTAAAAGGTTACATTTTTTGCATCATCTGTTCTGGTGTTATTAGAGCAGTCCTGGAAATTGATAGCCACACAATGTGTATATACAGATGGAGAACAAAATAATCCGAACACCTGCAAAATAATGGAAAATCTTTATTAATAGGGAATTGTACCACCTTTTGAGTGAAGTACAGATTGAATAAGACGTGGGATAGATACATAAAGGTAATGGGCAATATTTATAGGACTATTAAGCCATTCCTCCTGCAGAGCAATCTCTTAATTCCGAAAGTCCGGATGGAGGTGGAAATCGAGAACGAAGTTTGGACTCCAAATATGCCCATAAATGTTCAATAACATTCAAGTCCAGGGACTGAGGGGGCCAAGCGAGATGTTCAGTGGCATCGTCATGGTCTTCAAACCATTCTTGAATACACCTAGCAGTTTGGGTAGGGGTGTTTGTTGTCATCTTGAAAAAGTGGTCGCTCCTCAGGGAATACAGTCTGGACAAAAGGATGGACATGATCCCCTAGAATGCTTAGATAGTGATTGGGTGTGATCTTCCCATGCAGAATAACAAGTGGGCCGAAAACCGCGCCAAGATATCGCACCCCATACCATAATTACCATAGAACATAAGCCCCGTTCACATGCAGCAAACTTTCGCACAGCCGCCATTTGTATTTGGGAGCAACGGGGATATGAAGCAGTTTCGCCTTCAGGATTGGTTCAGATGCACATCGTCTTCAATCCCTTAACCCATAAGCCACTGCGAGCAATGAATGATGTCACAAACGCACATCAGATTTGGCGGATTTGTAACGTTTACTTACATCTTTTTTGACATTGTTTACTATTGCTATAGAACACCATCAGAGTTTAACTCTTTAATTAATTAAAATATGCCTAAATTAATATAAAATGCAATTTATATACGAGACTAAATGATTAAAAGAAGAAAAGAAACCACATATGCTGCTGAGCAGTTTTAAATAAAATGTTTTGTGGCTGCTAAAATTTCCAAATTTGCTTTTGGAAAAAAGGAATAAAACTTCAAATTTATAGTATTAATATTGATTATAAACATTTTAGAGAATATATTATAATTAATTCATCTGTTAAAATTATTTTTAACGTGTTTTACAAAGATTTTAAGTAAAAGCTTGTAATTTATGTTTATATTAATCAATTGAATAGCATTCGGTGTTATTTTATATCTGTGTAATGGAATTCAGTAAGAAAATTTTTAAGCAATTTGAAATGATATAAACAGCTTATATTCTTTTAACTGCGTTTTCTCAGTTTGCATTTTTTTGATAAATTCTTTTAAAAGTCCTAAAACTTATATAGATATGGCCAAACTATTTAATATTTTTACTGCTTAATTAAAATTATATCCTTTATAGAAATAAGAATGGATTTTTCAAAATACTGAAAAGAAAAATTATTTGAAGTGGAAATGTAATTGAGATAATATTTGTTTCAAAGTTTTTGCATAAATGTGTTTTTATTTTTTCTCGGAAACTAATTCATTAAGTGCAAAATCTATCCTTAAAGTTATTAAGAACTTTCTAATAAATACAATAAGAAAATTGGTGGGAAATCATTGAAAATTGTGAGAGAAGAATGACATTTTAATTGTTAAACTTTTTTTCCAAAAATTTAAATAAAAAAAAAAAATACTGGCAAAAATTTTTTTCTCAGTTTAAAAGTATTTTGTCTTACGAAACCATTTAATAACATTCATAAGACTAGATGAAAGTTCTTAAACAACAACGTAATTTTTTTGGATGAATCGAGTCCTCAGATATCTACCAACTCAATTGTTTCGCTGACAGTTCTGCGAGCAGTCATTAAGTGAACCGCGCAATCATGCAGTGCAGTATGGGAAATGTCCCCATTTGCCCTGCTCCCAAGAGGTAGGAATGTTCTACCTCCAACTCGAAGAAGAAGTTAATTTTTGTCGCCGTGTGAACGGGACATGTTGGAAAAACCAGTTTTCACTACCAGTTGAATCTGCTCTTGTGAACGGGGCTTTAGGGTTGCATTCCATTCTGAGAGGCAGAAAAGAGGAATATTAGAATTCCAACCTGAACTTACAACAGTGGAAGAGCGAATGAACGAGACCAAAAGTTGCACAGTCAGTTTAGTGAAAAACTCCCAGAGGGTGCACGGAACAGATAAAACTAAAAACTTGGCGTTAATGTTAATTCGAGCTCAGACTTTTATGGCAAACACTCAGATGTACATCTCTGTTTTGCAAGGTCTCAACCTTGCAAACAATTGTGAAAAGTTAATTATCTAATCAAGGGCTGAATATTATCAACTGACTTCAACTGGAGTACTGAAGTATGATTTAATATGATTCCATTTCAGCTTTTAATAAGCCTTTACGGTAAATCGTAAGAGTTACCAATGCCTTCTGGTAAAAGCCCAAAACGAGGAATTACTTAGGATTTTCCATTTGCAGGTATATTGTATACAATTTGTCTCCAAAAGGTTAAAACACACTTTAATTTTTAATTGATAATATAAATTGTAAAACTGATATAAATAAGTTTTAAGATTATGTCATTGGAACAGTCTTACAATTATTGTTCAGAGAGTTACAAGACAAAAATTAAAAAAGCACTATTTATGTCATTTCACAAATAAGATTCCATGTGAAAAAGGGGAACCAATACACAATTGTCTTTATAACAACAGAAGCGATTTCAATAATTTTTAGAATATTTTTGGCAAAAGTTAAAAAATTTGAATTGATAGCCCGGGGGGGGGGAATAAAAATTATGAAATTTTAGAAAGAAGGAAAATGTAGTAAATTTTTTTAATACTTCTTACTATCTGTTACAGCAAGGTTGACTGTAGCGGCATTTTGAATTGTAAAGTAGACCAGCTGATTTGCACAAACACATCATCGTAGCTCACTTCTTTGAACAGTTGCATTTTCTGAGTTCTTATCCCCCAACTAAAAGTCTTTTTACTATTTCATGTATACTCATTTCTTATGTATTAACTTCTTTGATGTTTAAAAAATTTTCTTTGTAAAAGGTAAACCGGTTTCTCGTGTACAGTGATTTTAATTTATCAAACTTAGTACCAAGAACATAAAACTCATTATCTTTAATATCTGCAATAACGGCTATTACTCATTTTGGATCCATTTTCAATCAATCATTATCAGGTAATTTTATTTTACCATTTTGTCTGACAGTAGGTTTCGAAATATTTTAGTAGATGTAATCTTCATCTTCTTTGCCTGATTCACAAGTCCTTCCTTAGCTGTCTCCAAACACTTTAATATGTTGAACTTTGCTGATAATCACACCTGTTATGCCACAGCACATATCTGATTCTGGTTTCCCCCCCCTTCCCAGTTTAAACTTCAGTATCTACTTTCATCATTATGCATGATTCTTTTTCATGTGTATTATTGTTATCTTGCGATTCTAAATCAACTGTTGATTCAAGATTAGTGCCTTCATCTACTGTATTATCCATGCATTCATTATTAATATTAATAAATTTTCGAAGGCCACTTCTGTGGCCATGTTACTAATCAAATTCCATGGCAAAATTAAGATAGCAATCCCAGCTTCATAGGACAAGAAAACATAGCCTCATAAGATGAGCATTTGATGTCCTCATGATATGCTTTGGTTTTCATTGCTTGTGCAAATTTTAATTATTCTGACCACTTTTCTGTCTTATTTGTTTCCATCCATGTTGCCAACATGTTCTCAACATCCTTGTTGGCCCGTTCAACAGAACCTTGCGTTGAGTGTGTCTTGGTTTACCGTGAACTGTTTTTATATCATTTCACATAACCTGTTTATGATTTGGGTTCAAAATTTTCTCCCATTGTCAGAATGGAGAATTTTGGGGGCTGCAAAAGTTGTGAAAATATCCAGAAGAGGGTATGCTACTTCGTCAGCTCTTTTACTATGTACACTTCAGAGTAGGATGACTTTTGTGAGATGATCTTGATACACTAAAATGAATTTCATATTACGATCAGGATTAAACTTCATATCTATTAGGTTGACTTGGCATCGAGAATTCATTTCGCTATGCACAATTGGCTTGAGGCCCACCAGCGGCCGAGCGGTAAAGACGCTGAACACTGGTAGTTCGGTCCGAGGTTCAAATCCCGCGAACGGGCTGGCTGCATGGGCATTTTCGTGGTTGTCCCCATGTGTAACGTGTATACGAGCCAGTTACCCTTAGAAAGTCCTCCATGAAGGCATCCCTCCTCTTAGGCAGATAGCCCTCGAGGCTTTGCCATTATCACACACACACACAATTGGCTTGATTACAATCCCCCTTTTCAACACTTTTTTTTTTTTTTTTTTGTTTTGTTTTTTCTGGCATGGATCACATTTTCAAATACGTGACGACAGATTCTACTGTGTGATTCTTGTACTTGTGGTTCAATTCTTTAATCATCCGGGCTCTTCCACCATGGGCCAACTCCGATATGTTCGTCGTGAATGACGTTGAAGATTTCATCAATTGTAACAGAATACAGGATTTCTGCTTTTTCTGCAGACTGTTGTGCTATAAGTTTGTTCTCTCCTCCAGTATTTAGAACCTTCAATATTTCAACCTTCTGTAATTTCCTTCGCACATTTTTGCATCTTCCACATCATTTATTAAGGAAGTGTATTTTTCATTTGTTAAATAAAAGCTGTTATCCTGCTCAATTTTTACAAATTCAGACAAAATTTCTTAAAACTTTTTCCGCATAACAACGCTTATTTCCTTTCAGCAAAATAAAAAATGCAAAATATGCTAAAATGGAAGCAAATTGTTTCTATTTTAGATCGTAGCCACTTAAAATTGTTTGAATTAGCTCGAACCTAGACATCAAATGGTATGAATGAGGAGGGGCAGGAACAGAAAGGTGTTGCCATGGAAATTGCATGTACAGTCTTATTCAAGGTCGATTTAAAGCCCTTGTTTCAGGCTTTTACCAGAAGGTGTTTGTAACTCCTAGGATTTACCACAAAGACTTGGTAAAAGCCTGAAATGGAATCCGTACTTCAGACTTTTACCAACCCACTTTGGTAAAAGCTAGGTTTTACTTGTAGTTTTTAAAGTAACAGATGTTTTGCATTTGCTTAAATTGCATTAATTTTGGATGGTAATGTATTATACATAATAATGAAAGCTTCTTCGTATGTTAACAATTCCATATAAAAAGCTTTATTTTCGTCCATGCTTATTTGCAACTTCCATAAGAATAAGGCTTCAGCTTGAAGATACATTTGTCATTCTTAACTTTCTATCCATAGGAGGAAAGAAAAACTTGTTACGTGAAAGTTATATTTGATGTTAGCAAACTGCATAGCTCTATTTTCCCCCTAATATGTACTTTTTAATTCTGCAGCTGTATTAAACAATTTGATAATTTTTTTTGTATATGTAATATCTAATAGCTTGTGTAATCAAAATGTTATGTACTTTTTAGGTAGGTTATAATTATTAATGTTTAGAATATTTGATATTCTTATTTTACTAACTGTAAATTTGTAATCGTTTCTAAGTTTTACATCATTTTCAGGACCGCCGGGATCGTGAAAGATCAAGGGGTAGGAGAATATCAAGTGAAAGAGAAAAGAAGTATGTAGTTTTCTAGTATATATTTAAATCTGAGTTACTTTTTTTTATTTTAAAGAAATTTGATTCGCTGTAATATGAACAAGCATTACAAAATATTCATGCTGGAGTTTCAGACTGGAAATGGTCTCGTTGATCTGTAACATGTAGTGTGCTTCATGCCCATGACACATACTTATAACAGGCTGTGCTCACCCCAAAATAGAAAGTGGTACAAAGTTAAATTTGTTTAGAATTTTTAATATGATGCAAAAATTCTTGAAATATGACTTTAAGGCAAAATACAGTTAATTTACATTCGAACTTACAATAGACATTCATTGCTGGATGATATCCAAAAGAGGATTTAAAAACAATTTCTTTTAATAAATAATTAACGAAACATAAAATATTTGCTCTTATCATGGAAGGATACAGCTTTGCTTTGTCTTATGTTCTTAGTGCTTTTTGGATGTACTCTTAAACATAAGTATTTATATGGTATGTTACAACTACATTTAGCTTGTATTTTGTTCTTGTATGTCAGTTTATAAAAACAAACATTATTTAAGAATAGAATGAAAATCTTAACTGTGGTATAATATGTACAACGTCCCAGAAATCTCATTACTGATAAAAGTGTTAAAGTAATGCAAAATTTTAATTTACAAAGTGAACCTCTGTCTATGCATAAATTGGCATGCACTTTGAAAGAATAAATACTCTGTCAAAATTAAATAATTAAATATTAAAAGTAATATTTTAGAAATGTCCTCCATACTCTTTTAGAAAATTCCAATACTCTTTTCTTCACATGGTTGTTCAGCTTAAGGTGTTGAGTAATCTAATTGATGCATGGATGCACACACTGATCTTTAGCTGTAATGTGGTGTGCATGGTGTTACTCGAAATGTCTAACTCAAAGTGCAACGAATTGACATTTTTGAACACTCATTATTACTAACACTCTTATTGGCAATGTGATTGGCCAAATATCTATTACCAAACCTGTGTATTCAAACTTTATAACCACTCTTTTTGCATTTGGTACCACATGTGATGTAATTTGTGCAAAGTTTTATCACAATACTGTATATGTAATATGCTTTCAAGATAGTTATGCATTTCTGCATCATTTATTTCTCCATCATGAAAGGGTCCACGAGCAGTAAAATTACTGAAAACTGTTGTGGTTTTCAACATGTGTAATGTAGTTATGAACCATTTTTTTCTAAAAATTTCTCCACTAAGGTATCCCTTCCCCCAGGCAGGTAGCTTTGCCATAATCAAGTAAGCCAAATCTAACTGGAATATGATTACCGTGACATAAGTTTCAGTAATCTAGTGTGTGTGGGGGGGGAAGGCTTAAAATTTGGATCCTGTGTTAAGACATCCTGATGTTCATTAACAGATTTATGCATTTTTTCTTATTTCTAATTAATTGTGTGCATATATTTCCATTTTTTACTTTCCTGAACATTGCTTGACCGGAATTGTTTACAATGTGATTTCTAATAGATTAATATTTCCATTTTGCTAATTTGATTAGTTATAGATTTGTAAATCACAGTCTATAGTATAAATATTGTTTTAACTAAGGTTTTGAACGTTTTTGTTTATTCCAAGGATATTCCTGTGCATATCTCTTGTGTAGTGCTTTATACCAAATTGTTAGTATGGTAAAAAAAAACTCACCATGTGACTAAATTTGCTGTGAGTGACTTGAAAAGAAAAGACAGAAGCCTTTGAAACTATTCATGAAGATCTGTATATACAGCAAATTCAGTACCTAGATTTATTTAAGTACTTGAATCATTGTTTCCATAGCCTTCTCATCGTGTTACCAGAAATATGTGCCGCATTTGGTAATCAGTTTTCAAATTGTGTGGAGGATGCTAAATCAATCTAGCTTATCTTTCTTCAAACATTTTTATACACTTTAAAGAATATTTTTCCTGATGTGATAATTGAAGGGGGGAGAACATGTCTAACTCCCATGTTGTTTTTATTAGATGCCTTCATGAGGATCCCACACCATATACAAGTTAGTCACAGTTCACAAAAACAGAAACATTTAGAGAGCACACACAAACTAAAGATCTGTTTTCAGCTTAAAGAAAACCATTAAAGGTGCCTGCATCCTTATAAAATACCGCTATGCAAGTACAATTTTGTTTGCAGTGTCTGATTAACTAATTGAGCAGGGGATGAACTCTTCAGTACTTTGCTGAAGGTTGTCTTCACTTAATGAAAAACTGAATTGCAATAAAACTGCCTACCGTTTTGGGGGAAACACTGGACTGGCATAAGGGGTGCCCAGAACTTTTTGAAAAGTGCTGGTGTGGTATAATGATGCTGAGAATATCTTTTTTTAGCTTTTTTTAAGTTGCGCTGTGTGGAAGGGAACTTGGGTATTTTAATAAATTAACTGCTTGCTGTTTTAATAAATTAACTTGGGTATTTTATTAATTAACAATCTGCTGTATGTCTAAAGAGTGAATAAGAAGCATAAGTTTTTTTTTTTTCTTTAGTTTGTGTCTAAAGAGTGAATAAGAAGCATAAGTTTTTTTTTTTTTTTTTTTTTTTTTTAAGGTAATAAATCTTTTGGGGTCTGGAATGAATATAGACTGTAAATTAATAAAATGCATTATACTGAAATTTCAGTCTTCTACCAAATATTCATTTTTTAATTATTCTATTAGCTTAAATTTCCTGTTTTATTCCAATGTACATAATGATTTCTGATGTAAAGTAGCATTCTTACTATTAGTAATGGAATGTATTCTCTCATTTGAGTTGTCCTTTTTTCGTATGTTTCCCAAATTATTTTACCATTGTGACTTGTGATTTTGGTTATTATTTAAATTTTTAAACTGTACTTCATCATATCATGATTTATTGTTTCTGAAGCCTTGGTCTTTCTTCATACAGTTGTATTATTTTTCATGAGTTCTGCATTCTCATTATAAATTCTGGTTTTCTGTATAGTTTTTCAGCCGTTTTTTTCATTTAGTTATATGAACTCGGTTTTATATCTAGTGTCAGTAGTAGTTATTTTGAAAGCATGAAAATAATTCAGGATATGACCTGAACTTTTGCGTATTGTTTACATCCAGTTTACTTTTAGACAGCCAGAGAAAAATTTTGTCTTGCCGTTGACATTAGAGACTAAAGGTACTGAAACATAAATTATTTTTATGGCATTAAAATAAGTGTTTAAGAGTGGTCTTTGACTTTTGAACGTAATTGGCTTCTGAAAGTGTGTGAGAATGTTGAATTTTTTTAAAGTAGATAAATGTAAAAAAAAATATATGCCCAAAACTGTATTTTAAAATATTCGTATATATATATATATATATATATATATATATATATATATATATAATAATTATTTCCTAAACAGTATTGATTAATTGATATTATATTATCTCCTAAGTTTAATTAAAGTAGACAATTATTTTAAAAGTGTGAATCCATACTGGTAAGTTATATTTTGAAAGATGTTTTGAAGTAATTTGAAAGCAAAATGTTAATAATGTTTTAACGGGGACTGGAGTTAAATAATCATGAATAATAAAATTTCAATTGTAAAAGGAAAAATTAAAACATGTAATCATTGTCATTGATCGGAAATTAGTTGACTTTTCAAGGGGAACAAACCAACTCCCGTTCAATGAACAATAATTGATAAAAATACGTAAATACGAAAGTGTTTCGTCTTTACTCGAGTTATAAGTAAAAGCCAAACAGGCAATTCTAGTCAGGCCAAATATTTCCGCGAATAGAAGGAATTTTTGATTTTCATGTGACTGCAAGATATTCCCTTCAATGCTGTGGGATTTTCCGCTTGATCAATGAACAATGGCTTCAATTTTAAATCACTTAAGTTTCCACCAAGAAAGAACATGAATCAGTTTTGGGAAATTTTATGTCCAGGGGCAGCTGATTCTTACTTTGATAAAAATTTGACATTTTTTCCAAAATAAATCCATCTCATATACATTGAATATTGGACTAAAAGAATATTCTGCATCTACAACAATTTTGGACAATAAGGGGAAATAAATTCTTTTACAGCATCTTTGCATCAGCTTATTCTCCACTGAATTTAATGTTATGTAAACAGTATCTCATTTTAAATTTGTTGAATCACTCATTACTTGTTTGAAACACCATGTTTGAATCTGTGTTTAATCTAATCTTCATGCAAACTAACTTTGTCTGAATAATTGAAGAATTCAGAGGCTCATTACTTTGATGTTGATTGTCAATCCATAAAGACAGAGATGTTTCCATCCCATCCATCACTATGCGTGTCTTTTGGAAACAACCTTTAGAGATGTATTTCCACAATTTTAAACATAGTCATTTATTTGACTCTTGTTTTTCAAAATTGAACATATAGTAGATCTATTTACATCATACAAATGCCCGATTAAAGGAAAAGATTCACAGTTTTCAGAACATTTAATCTATTATCTCAATACTATGAAGTTAATGATTTCTTTTTGCTCATATCAATAATTTCCTTAATAAAGTTCTTACTTTCTTATTGTTCATATCAATACTGCAGTTTCTTCATTTCTCAATCTTATCAATTTATAGAGATGAAATATTTAAACATAAACAAATGAATTGGCAAAACACACAGCACTTTGATGCATTCCCTAAGACTAACTCTTTTGACCTCTTCCTCGAAAGAAGGCAGTTGTGATTACATTTCCAAGAAGTGTACTATTGTAGGAAGTAATGTGTGTCTGTCACATATTTACCCCACCCCTAATTGTATGTAAGTAATGTGTGTCTGTCACATATTTAGCCCACCCCTAATTGTAAGTAATGTGTGTCTGTGACATATTTACACTTGTCACAGCTGCAAATGTCTCCTGCTGACAAGAGAGATAAAACAGATGGAATGAGTGAACTGAAGATAAGACAGATTGAATTGTGAGTGAACCCAAAACTTTACAAGTGCAAATAAATTGAAAGAATAATTGAATTTATATATGATGTCAAGGAATGTGTATTGATTGAATTCAGACAGAAAGTAGGAAATCCTGAGTGTTGTGTTGAAGTTGCAGCCAAAGTTAAACGTGGGTTTTTGCGAACTTAAAATTATTTTATCTTTTATATGTAACTAGAGTAGGCAGCTAACTGGTTTATGATTCGTAAAAAATATTATGTAGCAGAAAGTAAGATGTTCAATTGAACGCATTAATTTGTAAGATGATATTTGTAATTTTAAGTGAATTCTTAGCTAATTGTGCTGTCAAGTAAATGTGTTGTTCTGTTTAAAAAGTAAATGCTGTTTTGTGAATAATAAGCAATTTTTGCTCTGTGTGCATGATTCAAAGTGTCCAAGAGTATTTATTCTAAGATGCAGATTGGTCATATATGTTAGAGCCATTTTGATAATTTTCATTTAACTTCATTAAGCCTTGAGGCCTGTCTGCCTATATTCATTTAATGAAGTAATTACATTCATTACCAAAGAACAGGTGACAATAAAATTTATTGGTAATTATCTGTTTTGTACATTTAACCCTTTGACTGCTGAATTTGTGGACCAAAATTGTGTGTGTGTGTGGGTTTTTTTTTTTTTTTTTCCATATTTTAAATCTATATATATTGGAGATAACTGCATATTTAAATGGATACTTGGATAAACCAATTTACTTGGGACAACCACCTGGATTTATATCATATTCCAACAAAGTGTATCTTGTGAACAAAAGTTGGACTATAGTATAAGAATTATGTACAGTTCTTAAGAAAAGGAAATTGATTAGATTAAAGTCAGATCCATGTATTTATAATGATAAGCTCAACTATCTTATAATAGCAGTATGTATGAATGACTTAATGATTGATTCTTAGAGAATATAATTTGTTTGACTACCTTCGCCAACAACGGTTTGTTTCCAGTTTTCATACTATTTACTGTAACAGTATAAAGGTAGGTAGTCCACTATAACAATATAAAGTAATATTGAATATGTAGGAAATTGAACGGATGAGAAGCTTCATATCCAGGGGTTAGTTCTGAGCTAAGTTCTTTCTACATGGGTTTGACTGCATTAATAGATAGTACAGTACAAAGTCCATAATCTGGACTTGGGCGATTCTGGATTAGGAGTTTTCCGTATTATATAGATCATCAATTTAAATCTGGTAAAATGGCATGCAGAAGTTATACAATTACAAATATGAAACCGTAATTTATGAAATAAAGAGCAATTATGATCTAAAGGGTATCAAAATTTATTAAAAAAAAGCTTAATTTTTATTTGTTTACTTTATTAAACATTTCTTTCAATGTAAGTTGTTTAAGTTGCTTTGTTTTTTGTGCTAATACTTTCTCTTTAATTCTATAAACAGACAATTTCTTGTTCGGTTAGAAAGTGTATCTTGTATTCAAGTCTTGTAATTGCTGTGTCGAGAATACCGACTAACTTGTCAGTAGAAATTTTTTTCGTTTTCAATAACCTCTCTGTCACTTTCTTCACTATCGGAAACGCGCATGTTTAAATGCTTTACGCGCATTAAACACGTGTAAGTTTGTGGCTTTGAGGTCTGGATTATAGATCATTCCGCATTATGGACTTTGTACTGTAATATCAAATTTTATATTCTCTAAAATCAGTTTCAGTTAATCAGTCTCTTTGATATCAAAGAAATTAATTCTGTTTAAAGTTTTCCTTTGAATTTTTCATCAATGTTATGTATCATACTTTAATTTACCCATTTTGATTTTGATATGTATATCAAAATCTTGAAGTACAAAATGCGATGGATGCTCAGCAGGATCAAAAACAGAGCTGTGTGACGAATAAATTGTAATCATTTTTGTAAAGGGCTTATAAAATGGTCAAAGTTAGGACACTTTGTTTCACATGAAAATGAAACATGTTAGTCATGTATAGAATTAATGGAGAGTTTTATGTACAGTATGTGCCAATTTAAATGAAGTTTTCTTAACTTAGTCTCATACAATAAATTATTTTACCTTATACAGTTTGTTTCTTTTAATACTTTTCTGAATATATTTTATTTATTTTTTATAGAACTTCAAAACATTCTAGAAGCAATGAAAGATGGCGTGATGAACGTCTTTTTGAGATTCAGACAAGATCAAGAGGAGATGAATGGGTTGATCCTTGGCGGAGGTATTTGTTATTAAAAATTTCACATACGTTGCAGAGATGTTTGAACTTGTAATTAAGTTTTGCTTAATACATTAATACAAAAATGTGAGATATTTGGAAATATTGTACATGGAAAAAAATATGCTCCTGCCACTATTAACAGGCATAATATAAGTTCCATTTTCTGTTATAAAGCAGAGTTTAATTAAATTTGAAGATCGGGGGGGGGCATTTGTATCCATTGACATGAATTTTTAGTTTGTGTAACTGTAATGATAAGGGAGATTTTTGTTATCGAATTATATAAAAAAATCCTTAATAAACTTTCAATCTTTATTAAATGGAATTTATATTATAGCTCTCTCTAAATGTGTATATATATATATATATATATATATATATATATATATATACACACACACACACACACATACACACGCGCGCATGCAGAGACGCATACAAAATAGGGGAGAAACAAATTTTTTATTTATTTTTTTTTTTAGGTGACTTAAAATTCTTCAACATCTGTTAGTCATGGGAGCACATCTTTCTTTACTGTCATAAATATTATCATTGCCAACATTATCTGTTTCAACTTATTCCTTGTAGAATCGGGTTGGCTGAGGAACCTATGGAGATTAAGAAAAAAATTAATAACAACACTTTTTGTAAAGAATGACTGTACAATTATAAAATCCTGTAAACCTCTTCAAATGCTGTGGGTCTTTTAACTTTGCTTTAATTTGAAGTTTTCCATTGAACAGCTTCTTCAGATTATTTTTTGAAGTGTCAGCGTAGAGCTGGTTCTTTGAAGATTCGAAGTCTATCTTTCCTGATTTTTTTCTTCTTTGTAAGTATAACTTTTATGCCTCCTCTTAAGTGAATTTTTATGGAGTGTTAAATTAGTGTTTTGTACTTCCAAGTTAGTAGAAATAAGGTTTTTCTCTGGATAAAGAAAGTCTGGCTGACCTCATGAAAGGTTTTTTTTTTTTTTTTTTTTTTTTTTTAATCCTACATCAGACCTAGGCATGACTGCCATTTGCCAGTGATGGACAGCCCAGTAGAATTCAGAAACATCTAAAAAAGTACTATAATTTTGGACAGCATAAAGCCCAGTTCCACATCTACTTGACACATTAATTTTAGGCATCTCGGTTTCAAATGTCCAGTTTATACCAAGGTTCTTAAATGATTGCACTTTCAAAAATTCTTCTGGGAGGGGAAGTCAAGTGGGACTAATCATAATAAAAATTTCAGATAATAATAAAAAATGCCTATACTAATAGAATAGCTTTATAAATTATTTAGAGGAAAATTCTCAAGTTTATTAGCAGTAATAAACCTTAATAATCAATCATAATGATACATGTTTGATAATTTTTACAAAATAATCTAAAGTAATAGATTGTTGCAAGAAAATAGTGATAGATTTTGAAGTTTTCTTAAAATCTATCTACATTAAGATATCTCTTGTTGCCTAATGGATAAAATGTTGGCTTCTGGAGTTAAAGATTTTGGATTCAAGTTTCACCAGGGATGTTGTTGTAATGGAGTTGGTATTTTTTAAAAAAATATTTACAGAAAAATTTGTCACTGCCTTCAGAGTAGCCCATATGCTTCTTGAGTTTTCTGAACGTGAAGTGTGAAAACACCTTAGCTCTGCAAGACACCTTAGCGTGAAGGTAGCATGCTTAGTAGAAAATTCAACTAGTATTAGGGACTTGTATTGAGTCAAAGGAGAATATTTTTTTCTTTACCGTCTTAGTATGCACTCAGTATCACAAACCTAGACAATATCAGTTATATGTGGCTTTGTCAACATTACCTGACACAAAAAGTTTCCATCATCAAGCAATCAGTTAGCTCTTGATGTCTGGTTCAATCTGCTTTTTTCATGTTCTGACAGGGGAAACATGGCTCGCCGTACTCACCAAAACCAGAATGCTCAGCCATGCGCATTGTATGTCCTGCTCCAGCTGGCACATGTAGGTGCATGTGCACAATACGATACAGTATACACTAGCAATAAATCTGGTGATGTTCAGATGCATTAATTGATGCAAATTTTGAAATCTTTTGTGATCATCTAAATGTATTTCTAAGGGAATATACTGATTTCTTGTTGTGCTCTTATAATTATGTGCATATATATGAGGTCTTACTTTAATTTAAGAAATGTAGTTTGAATTGGAAGCAGTTCCCTTTTTTTTTTTTTAGTAATTTTTTTCCTTCTCCTTATAGATCTAAGACTCCTAAGGGTAGTGGTAGACGCTCAAGATCACGTTCTGGCTCACCATATTCATCTGTATCATCATATTCATATTCTGACAGGTACTTTACTTGTAAATACTTTGCTTGTTATCTTTGGTGTTTGCAAAAGATACTAAATATTTTTTTTTCATAGGTCGTCAAGGTCTTCGTGTAGTTACTCACGTAGTTCATCCCGAAGTTCCTGTGTCAGCTCAAGAAGGTAATTATTTTGTCACACGTTCTGTGTTTTACATACCTTGTATTTTTTCTTATCAGAAATGTTTGCTAGTTTGATTCATTTTGGTAACATGCATATGGGATAATTACTGAAAAAAAATAAAAAACATTGACTTCACAGATGACTTCCAGTAGCAAACCAGGTTGTAAAACAATATAACTTCCCTGTTTAGTTTCCAGAACTGAAACTATGTTGAGTATCTTAAAACCTGTCCACGAAATGTACAAAAAATAGTAGCAAGCACATAAAACTCGATAATCACATTTATAGGTTTGACCATATGTTTTCAAATTACTCTTAACCTGTGCAATATAGCTTTTTTGGATCTGTTTGAAAAGCTGTATTTAAACATTTATTAAAAAGATTTGTGTGATTACTTATTTTCTTTCTTTTTTGTTTTCATTACCTTCTGCTGATTAAGATGATATATAGTTTATTAAAAATATAAAATATTTCAAATAAATTAACATACATATAGTGGTGGATCTTGTGAAAAAAGTGACTATGCACTGTGGTTGAGTTTAGGTAATTCATATATGGCAAATCTTACATATAACCTTAAGGGAAGGAATACCTTCATTGAGGTCTTTCTAAGGAACACAGACTGATATTCACATTACACATGGGGGAAGACTATGAAAACAAACTTTGCAGCCAGTTCATTCTTCTGGGATCGTTGAATTTCCCAGTCCCAGGAGGTTAAATTCCCAGTATTCAGCGGTCTCAGCCATGACATTGTGGTCAAGAGAATAATATTCAGAGTCATATCAAATCTAAATTAACCAGATAGGCTTGATTGTTCAGGATAGTGTCATATTTAGTACAGTATCCCATTTCAGTACATGCCTGAAAATCCATTTGATTCTGCAAAATATTGAAATGAATTTTGTTAGTCTCTAACTGTAGAGTCTGTTGGCCTAAGGTCCCAAGTTGTATGGATATTTGATTTTCTGTAAATATGTGTGTATATGTAATATGTACACATGTATTAAATCTTCCTTTGACAGCCACAACAAAATCCACATCATTTTGGTCTTCTGTGGAGTTTGTCACATTATAGCTGCATTTGTTTGTGATGCAGATTCGTTAGCGTGCAGATTCGTTGTTTAGAAAACTGCTCTTGTTGATTGTAGCGAATTCGCAGATTAGCGTTCTTTAGCTGTTTTGAATTACGTTCTATTGGACATTTGAGTAGTTAAAAGAAAACTACTGTGAGAATTGTAATACTGCATAATTTGAGAAAATTTAAGCATTTTTGTTGTGATAATAATAAATTTTTGTTCATTTTTCATCGGACTTGTGCATGCATTTCATAACGAATCCGTACAACACGCAACAATTTTTGGTGTCAGGAGTGGGGTTTGAATGCCAATAACAAGAGCGATGGAAGAGCAATTAGGCAGTTAATATCAGCCTTTTGCCTCATTTAAAAGAGGAAAATGAAATTGGGCCAGGAATCCGTTAAGGACGAAATGAAAGCCGTTCAAGCTGGTCAAGAAAGATTGAAGCATGTCAAGAAGAAATGAAAAGAGAAATTACCTGCATAATAGAAAATAATTTGAAGCTATGGAAGGCAGAATTGACACAGTTGAAAATAAAGTTGGACAAATTGAAGAAAAAGTTCTTTCGTAAAAGATCAATTGAAGAAAGGTTTTCTTCTGAAAGAAGAAATAGAAAAAATTTTCTTCTGTAAAAGAACATATAGAAGGGAGAGTTTCGGCTGTGGAGGAACGAATTGAAGGAAGAGTTTGTGCCGTCCAACACCAAATCGAACGACAAATTGATGAGAGAGTTTCTGCAGTTGCCAAAGAAATGGAAACTTTAAAGAAATTCATAGCGACGGCTGGGAGCAAGAGTGATAATTTTAAATTCTTACCGATGCCTGCTCGTCCATCTCTGAAGCTATCCACATATGATGGAAAGACATCCTGGCAAGTGTACAAGACCCAGTTTTCTATCATTGTGGATGCGAATGGATGGGATTCCCAAGCTAAGGAATGTCATATCGCCGCTTCTTTAAGAGCCGACGCAGCGGATATCCTTCAGACTCTTCCCGAAAACAAAAGGTTAGATTTCGAAGCTCTGTCTGGCGCCTTGGAGCTGCGCTTTGGGGAGAAGTGTTTAAAAGACTACAGCAGGCTCCAATTAAAATCTCGTCAACAGAAGCCTACTGAAACACTTCAGGAGCTCGCCACGGATGTTGAAAGGCTGTCCCGTCTCGCCTTTTCGGAATGCCCGACAGAAACAAGGGAAATCCTCTCTTTGCAGTACTTTATCGACGGCATCCGGGATACTGAAATACAAAAGGCTCTACGAATGGCGGATGTAAAAAATTTAAAAAGTGCTCTAGTGTACGCCATGAAATTCGAGGCAGCCCAGCAAGCCACTCGTCGAGACCGCCACCCAGTCAGAGCTGCTCAAGTCCAGGGGCCAGGATATCAAGTCACCGCTCGTCTAGACGATTTAACTAGACAACTGAACGCCTTGAGACGGAATATTGGTGAGAAGAGACCAACCCGTAAAAGTGCTGGAACTGCGGTGCTAAAGGACACACACGACGAAACTACAGAATACCCCAGGGTACGGATGTTAAGACCACTTTTAACAAGCAGCAGGGAAACTAATTAGTGGCCATATCGCGGGGCGGAGGTTGCCAGATAATGAAAAGCCCCAGTTTAAAGCGCTTCACATTTCTGCAGTGAGAGGCGGCAGTAATGGACTTTTCATAATAGGACATATTAATGGAGTTCCCTGCAATATGACGATAGACACAGGAGCCAACGTTACCATCATCCGAAAAGATTTGGCTCAACAACTGGAAAGCAAACTTATCTGGACGCCGCCCTGCGTTACCCTACAGACTGTGTCCGGTGAGAAGATCGACATCAATGGGAAAGTAAATGTTAACATCACGTTTGGAAGTGCCGCTTACCATCACACGGCATATGTAGCAGAGATCACTGATTCTTGCATACTCCGATTGGATTTTCTAAGGAAATACAATTTTTCCTTGGACTTTAAAAATAACGAATTGCATTCTGTGTCTGAGGACATAACGTTATTTGGAATTAATAATGAAGAAGTTAAATCTGTCCACAGGATCGTAGCACAAGACAATATCACAATACCGGCAAGAACAGAAATTTTACTCCCTGGATCTATCGCCGAAAACAGAGATTTTCGCTACGGCATCATAGAATATCCCAATAGCTGTAATACCCCGAAAGGAGTACTAGTAGCCTCAACACTCGTCGACCTATCGAGAATGGTTATCCCGGTGAGAGTTGCCAATGTAACTGAGAAGGCGAGAGTTATTAAGAAAGGCGACGTGGTTGCAGCATGTACTCCAGTAACCAGCGTTGAAAGAAAGAGCAATATCCCAGAATCCGTGTCCTCATCAGAGAGCATTACATCGGAGTTATTGCAGAATGCGCAATTGAACGATGAAGAGAAGAATGCTGCCGATCGCATCATTAAAGATCTTCAAGTTGTTTTCTCCCTCTCGTCTTCTGACGTGGGTTGAACTAATTTGACACAACATGGAATAGATACCGGCGATCATCCCCCAAGCAACATCCAAGACGTCTACCGTTTGCTAAACAGGAAGAGGTCCGAACACTGTTAAAAGATATGGAAGCCTTCAGCGAGTCCATGGGCATCTCCCATCGTTCTCGTCAGAAAGAAAGACGGCTCAACAAGATTTTGCATTGACTATCGCCGGTTGAATGAGGTTACGAAGAAAGACAGTTACCCTCTTCCTAGAATTGACGACATTCTAGATACTCTTTCTGGAAGCAAGTGGTTTTCAACACTTGATTTAAAGAGTGGGTATTGGCAGGTAGAAATACAGCCTGAAGACCGAGAAAAGACGGCATTTACTACGGGACAAGGGCTTTGGCAATTCAAGGTGATGCCGTTTGGACTGTGTAATGCGCCGGCAACATTCGAACGTCTTATGGAGACTGTTTTGAAAGGCCTTTCCTACGAAGCCCTGATATACCTACCGTACGCACGCAACAATATATACCGAAGAGCCATTATATTTAATCACCATAGTAATAACATGTAAGACCACCCATGTGTCATTGACTCCACAAGATGCTGATACATAGTCTGAGATATCTGGTACCAAGCACTTGCCAACTGGTCCTGCAGGGATCCCACACATTTTAGGTTGGGGAAGGGGGTAGTGTGGCAGCACAATTTTGGTTTTCCAGATGCCATCACATGACTTGAAAGTCACCAGAATGTTCCTCGAACCGCTCCCTGATGATTCGACCCTTATGACATGGTGCATTATCCTGTTGGTAAACACCATCTCCCGCCGGAAATACTTTTGTCCTGAATGGGTGAACTTGATCTGCAACGATATTCACGTAGCACAGAAGTAAGGGATTCTTCTATGAGGATTATGGGCCTCATTCTTTAAACAACAATAAAAACAAGATTTTTAAGCTCAGTATTTTTACTTTAACACCTCACCTTCCCTAGAGGACATATATCTTAAGAGTCTGAAATTAGTAGTATCTTAAAATACTGGTCTCTAAGGAACATTGTGTGGGCCTTAAAAGTTATCTGATGGAAATGAGTTAATCATTATATTTCTTTAGGAATGTCAACAAACTTTTTAATTATCTCGTTAGCACGATCGCCTGTATCCAGCCGTGAGATTTTTTGTCATTTGGTGTATATTAAAATTATTCACTATTTGAATATTTTGTGTGTGTGTGTGTGTTTTCCTTAATGATCTGAATATGAAAACAGATTAAAACAAAAGCAGTGCCACTTCTTTGCTGGAAAAGACCTAGGGTTGTTTATAGGGGACTCCGGTTTCTCTTAGAACAAAAGGCATGAATTCTCATTTGAGAGCTGACCACTCTTCGCAAAATCATCGTATCATATGGGTCTTGCAGACTTGCCACTGGATCATCGTGTGGCTTGTCTAATGTGACTGGAAAGCACCGGTATATTTTTTCTGGTCTTAATGATATATCAGAAATTCTGGGGAGGATGCCAATATTTTGCTCATTTCTGAAATTTATTGGGTTGTATGAGTGTTTAATAGCCGAAAACAAATGTTCAGCATGGGAGTGGGGATGATTTTTGATATTATAGAAATAATACGTGATGTGAGAAATCTAACCTGTCTATTTTAAGTTGACATAATTGTCTGATGTTACTTAGTTGATGTACCAAGTAATGTGTTTGTGCTTGTTAGTTAATTTTTGTTTAATATTTAAATTTGTTTTGAGCAAACTGAAAAATGTACATTAAAAGCATGAAACTTATTTGAAAAGTACAATTTCTATTCCATTTACTTGGGTAAAAGGATTGAACCTTCTCTATTGGTATCACCTAAATGAAACAAAATTTCTAATTAATGTTATATTTGTTCCTAATGATAAACACATGAAAAGTAAAAAATAGTATAAGGTAGGAGGTTTGCATTTCTTGCAAAAAATGTTTCCAAGTCTGGGCACCATCCTCTTTATAATCTCAAATAGTTAGATCCCTCTCCAGCCCATATGTTTTTATTGTGACTGTAGTATGACTGCTTTTATCAGCTTTGGAGTTAATACTGTATTTATTTAAAACATTTCCATCAAAACCATTGCCCTGTTCTGCTTTAAGGTATTAATAGATGCACGATTAGATAATGTATTAATCTGCAATGAGTATTTCAAAAATATTGTTACATTTCATAAATTTTGTTCATTTTGTAAACATTTAAATTGTTTTTAAGCTTTTAAGAGGGGGTAGATATTAGAAATAGAAGCTATACTGAATCAGTTTGCACTGTCAGTATTTTTTAAAATAAGTAAAACCAGTAAGTGCTTTGGCACAATATTTTTTATATCGAAATGTAAGCAAGATATTTAGCAGTGGTGAAATATGTGTATTCTGACAGCTTCAGATTTGACAACAAATTTGTATTAAATTTTATGTTGCTGCTTAAGTGTGTTTGTATGTTTTCTAATTACAGAATAAGTTGGTAGATGTTATTGCATGTAGTTTCTAATGTGACAAATGTATAATATTTTGTTATAATACGATGTCTTTACAGTCCATCTGTTCTCCAGAAAAGAAAACTCTCTCCTGATATTGAAGGCCCAAATATGTCTCCTAAAGGTCCTAACAGCAGATTTGCAACTATTAAAAAAAAGCCAGGAACAAGGTGACTTGTTTGTTATTAAATGTACTGATTTTTAGTCTGAAGAGTATAAAATCATATTGAAGAGGGCGGTGGTTAGTAGTAATAAGAGAAAGAGGATTTCATTTTAAGGCAATAATATCACTATAAAAAACATATTTTTTTGTATGTTTTTGTTCTAAATTTCTAAGAAGTGTAGTTTTATTTCGTTTTTTATAACTGAAAAATACCTTTATATAATAGAACTTCAAGAAGTCGAAGTTATACACGGAGTCATTCAAGTCGATCATGCTCCCGTAGCAGGTAATGGACTAATATATAGCACTCATGAAGATGCTTCAGTCTAATCACTACCTTTTAAAAGCAATGGTTTCTGAGCAATGCCTTTTTATTTAATTTGCTTTGCATATTTTAAGACTTATTTTCTGATAGCAATTAAAATAGCTTGTAATCTAATTTTGGGATTTTTCTTCTCTTCCTCCTTTTTTTTTCAAAAAAAAAATTTAATTTTGGTTATAATCAAACTTTTATAATTCTTACATATTACCCTTAAATATTCTTTAGTGCCTAACTGAGTTCTTAATACTTTTTCTTATGGTTTGGTATAAATAGAAAAGTGTGCATCTTCATATGAAAAATTTAATTAAATATTCCTTAAGTTTTTTGGGTTTATTGTATTTGGCTACTTTATTATATTTAATTAACACTTGTTTTGGCACTGATATTTCCGTTATAGCATCTTTTATTAGAAAGAATAGTTGGGAAATTTCCGTATTAATGCATGTTGGTAATATGCTTCAAATTAAAATAATTTTGTAATTCATTGGAAATGAATATGTGAAATTTTTTCATTTACAACATATTTTATATTAAATGTCTATTAAAGTAATTTCTATTCCCCATAAGTACTCTAGCTTCATGTCAATATTTTTAGCAGAATTAAGGAACTTTTAAGTACTGTGAAATCTGGTTAATTTGAAAGAAATCCCAAGTCCCAAAAACCTCAGTTGAGAAGCAATTCTAATAAAGATTTTTAATTTTAACTTATCTTGTAACTTCAGATATTTGTGCAAGATCTAGAAGTTCTGACTTTGTTGTATGTGAATTTTGGATTGCTTAAAACAAAACTGATATGCAGTCTAATATTACTAGCAGACTAGAGCTGATATTCATTTTGCAAGGCATAAATAAAGATCCAGAATTGTACTAAGAAAGAGATTATTGAAACCAGTTTTATTTACAATAGATTACAATGAAAGTTATAATTTTACTATTAGCTACTAGTGAATTATATATGACATGGGATATTTTAACATCGGCAGTGCCTGCCAATATCTTTTACAATGCCCTGCATCGTTGACTCTTGGATTACATGTGTATGAATGCAAAAAAGGCTAACAAAGAAACCCTGCTTGTTAACTTTTGTGAAAATTTCAAATGCGGTAATCAAATTTTCAGACATTTTCTCTCATTATTGAACTATTTAAAAAGCTATCAATGAACACGAGAAAAAAGTATATCAAATTGAAATATCAATCTCTGCTTCTGAAACAAGTTTATTGCTAACAGAGAAACTGAGTGTTTGCATACATTTATTTTTATGCAGCCTTTAAAAAACAAAACATTTTCAGGCCTGTTTAAAATAAAACTAGTGAAATTTCTGAAACTGATAGGGATAAATAGACAACTATTGATAAGTTCCTAGAGTTGTGCATATTTATACAGGTATCCACAGATGTGATGTAAATGAATAAACATGCATACGTATATTTTATTTTTCTTTCCTCGATCGATTTTTCCCCATATATTTGTTTCAGATTTTATAGTTGGCTTTCTCTAATTTGAATAGTTTTGTTAGTTCCTAAGAGTTCAAATTAATATGTGACCTGTTATATTGAGTTTTAATTCAATGAATTAAATATATTCTGCTTACCTATCAATAAAGCTAAATATAAATTATATTAATCATTTTGTGAAAGAATGACTTAAGACCAAATTCTTTAGTCATCAGAAGGTGGAACCTTCTCTCTGTTACATTTAATATAAACAAGAGGACTCCTTAACAATTTTAAAATAGTTGAAAAGTGTTTTTGGTTCTAATTCAGATACACGTATAGTGAAAGTTATTAATTTTCTGCAAAAGAGGAAATACCCATTTTGCCCTCTGTTTTGTTTTGAACAAATATGCCATATCTTCAAATTGTACCTGCAATTTTTCATTAGGCCTTTCTAATTTTCTCATTATGTATAAAATTCTGCATATTTTGGTCTTCTGTACAGTATAGAAGTTCCACTTTGGACTACAAACATTAAACTCAACTGATTACAGGGTTCGTACGGTCCTTAAAAAGTCCTTAAGTTTTTCGGAATTGATTTTTGGTCCTTAAACGTCCTTAATTTTGGCCAAAATCGGCAGAAGGTCTTTAATTTTAATCATGTGAAATTTCTGTCTGTTTTTATGACTGCCATTTTGAGTTATCAGTTTGGAGGTATATTTTTGGCGATTCAGTGATAAATATGGTTATTTGAATGGGTTATGATTTGTTCCTAATTCTAATATAAATGGTGGGATACTCGAGTTTCTGAGCAAGAAGTGAAACAAGTATTTCAAAATTATTTCACTTTCTCTAATGAAGAGCTCCTAAACAATTTTTTGCTTTTGGGGATGTGAATTCTTTATTGAACGGATCTACGTTGACTTATCAACATTTTGGCGATTTTTAAGATCAGTTTCTATAGAAAATTTTAAATTTCAAGAGCTGGGAATTTTTTGACGATTTTTTTTAAAACATTCTAACATTGATAAATTTCATTAAAATAATGTTATATTGAAATTATATTTAAAAGTAACATATTTATTTAAAAATATTGTTGCGTGCGTACGGGTTCGTTACAAAATGAATGCACAAGTCCGATAAAAAATGAAGAAAATTTATTATCACAACAAATATGATTAAATGTTCTCAAATAATCGTGCAGTATCACAATATATCACAGTAGTATCTTCTAACTACTGAAATGTTCAAGAGAACTTAATTCAAACAGCTAAAGAAAGCTAATCCGCGAATTCTCTACAATCAACAAGAGCAGTTTTCTAAAAAAACTTTCTTCTCTTGAAACAACAACAAACTAAGTAACTAACTAAAATCACACCGAACTGAGAGGTTTTCCTCCTCTTATAAGATTTTAAATAGCGCGCGAGAATTTTCTGGAACTTTCTCGAAATCAAAAAGAGATATTTATTTATTAAATGTTAAATGCGCGTGCTCTTGTATTTTTAATTTTCCGGCTTAGCTTTCCTTTAGTATTTTGTCACGCGCTGCAGTGTATGGGGAATAAACCAATTTAATTTATAATTCGAATAACATTAGCTATTTAAATACCAAATCCGTAACAGTATCTTTTCAATTTTTTCATGATAAGAGTTTTCGCATGTAATTGTCTCAGAGTATTACGAATTCTCAGAATATGCATCAGTTTTCTCTATAAAATTAATTAATTAATTTCATACTTTTTTCGTATGTTTTTTTTTTTTTTTTTTTTCCCCAAAAAAATATTTCTGGCTGTTTGCTGTTACAAAACTGGTAGGGGTAATTTTTCTTTGGGACATTAGACATTGCAACTTGGAAAGTTTAGAAGGATTTGAGGGCAAGATTTATAGACCCCCGATTGCATAAGATTTTAGAAAAATGTGACAAAATGAAAAATGTTGCTATGGTATTAACACGTAATGGATGTATTTTACAGAAAGTTTGCAATGAATTTCTTACTTTTTGGATAACATCTGGAAAAACAATGAAAACATAATATTTGAATGTTTTACTTCTGATAGTAGAATCTTTTTCTTAACATACTTATCTTCGCTTTCTCTACTTTTCACTAGACACGAGTATCGAAAATATTAAAAATGCTTCTAATCTTATCTCATGGACAGGCATTATAGAAAGGAATTTTTTGATTAATAAAGAAATTGAAAACTGGCAATTTAAAAGATTAATCTGTCTTAATGCATCATACACTGGTCTGACGCTAGGCATTCTCCCACCTAGTGCAATCACGTGGAATATTAAACCTCTCTATGTATATCCTAAATTCTGCTTCCAGTGCCTGCTCTAAATTCTAAAAGTTTTGCCATTTCTACATTTTGTTGCTGGGTATGTCACTAAATTCTAAAAATTCTGCCACACCAGCTCTGTAACCGGCCCTTAACATACATATTTCATATCTCTTGTGAATAACTAACTAATATTACTCAAGAAATAAAATTAGCAGCTTTTTATATACATTTTAAATGCATTTAGTATTTTTAGAATAACAGAAATATTTAATTAAATCCAAAAATTTTAAAATGAAAGAAAATGTAGACAAAAGAAACTGAATATGTAAAATTATTCTTCAAAGATATGTACAGTTATTATTACGTAAATTACCCAGTTGTTTACAATTTTAGCTTTTACTATTTTTTCCCTAGAATGGGAATCACCTAGACATTTTTTAAACTGAGGTGTTTGGAGTGTAAGACGAGTGTGTTTCTGATCTCCACTTGCTCCTTGCATTAGTTCCTGCCGGCTCTGATAATTTGTAATTATTTTTCTTTGCGTTACTGCTGCCGACATTTGAATTTGTTATGACAGTAGAGTTACTGAGCCAGCTTAAAATTAAATTAAATTGTATATTCTTTGACCACTAGACCACATTTTTCTGTTTGAATTTGATTGTTCTTGTTTAATTATATCACCACAAACTTTAATTGATTTGGTTAGCATAAGAACATACGTTTAAGTTCTTTTTAAATAAGAGGCTTATTTAAATCTTTGTCTTTGTAATTACTTTGAGACATAGCGATAATTTGCTTCGCGTCTGTCTGGAGTTTTTGGACTATTTAACTTTTACCAGATCAAGTAAACCCTCATAGGTACATTGTGGAGAGATTGATAATTTAGGAGATAAATCACGCAGAAACTAATGAGAACACTACTTTGCATATTGAGAGAAATTTCTAATTCTTAGTAAAGATGCTTAAAGAGAAGGAAATCGATATAAATTAGCCAAAATGTCTGGCCAGGTTTCAAATTAAAAAGAAGCATAAATATTTTGCTGAGTGTTGTTGCTATAAAACATAAATGTTTTGTAGCCTTTAATGTATGATTATTCTAATATCGTTGAAGAATCAATGACATAAATTGCATGTATTTTAAAGTGTGAAATTTTATTACATTGGCATTTTAATAGGGACTTTTAACAGTATTGTTAAAAAATAGGTAAAATTTAATAGTGGTCATGTAAATCCATAATGACTAAGG